GTCGTTCTGGGAGGCTTGATATTTGCACCTCTCGCCTCAGATTGGCTGACAGCAATGCGACTCTACCACTGGCTTATGTTGATGCTTTTTCTCCACAAATAACACAAGCCTGAAGAAGTTCTACCGTGTGGTGGAGATGCTAATGCTAACGGTTAGCTTCTACTAGCTGAGACGCACTCCGCTGTTTCCTGGACGCTAAAACAACAACTGACTTCACCGTCATGAGTCAAGATGGGTGAGTCCATGAATGTTAAGTGACAGTGTGACATAGATCAGTCAGGCTTTACACTGTCTATTTTCTATCAGAAGCTAATGCAGGAGATAGGTGTAGGAGACGATTTTCATGTTCAACCAGCACGAAAACCTCGGAGTGACTGATTATAATCAGAAATAATCACAGAAAAAAAAATTCCAGTTAAGTATCTCTTTAAATCATGGAAGTTTTACAGTTTTACTGGTTACATCATGGGGATTAAATCAAAGTCAATATTTGAAGAGAAGGATGGTTGGATGGACGGAGTTCTGCTTGGCTTAGTTGGCGAATTAACCTTCTCTGGCTCTTTTTTATATAACGTCTGCTTTCTGTTCCCAACATTGGACTTAAACTGTGTGCTTCAGTGACTGCCGCATTAGGAAGCCTTTCATAATTGTGGTATGAGGTGAAGGTGTTTCCTCCTGGTGTTATTTCAGAGATGGTGACGAGACGGATTAAATCTGAAGAGATCTTCTGTGCCAGAAACTCCTGACATCTAAAACTGACCTCAGCTTCCCCCTCACAGAACAGTCTCATTAAGTCTCCCACTGGTGAAGCTGAAGAGCCTGATGGACAGCCACAGAAAAGGAGACTTCACACACAAAAGGCTGTCAAGATGTAGAAGTCTATTCGTCTGGTGGAATATAAAGTTACTTATGAGCTGGTCCCTGAGGACGTATGTGGGAGCAGCTATCATTGTCCACCAGCTAGGAGAAGCTATGCTGCTAACTGTTTCACAAAAGCATTGATTTTCTTCTTGTTTCAGTTAAGGGCGGATAATAATCACATGAATGTCAGGGCAGGCACATTATCTCATCTAATGATGCCTTTACTGTCTCAGTTTCATCATCTTAGTGTGACCCGGGCTGTGCTAACTTATCCTTTTCACTCTAAAGTAAAGTCTCATCAGGAGCAGCTTGCTAACCTTTTCAACTCATAAAACTCGTAAAGCCTCCGCCCGCAGGCTAAATCGTGACGACTTTAAAGGAGCTAATGTCAATAAAAAACATGAGCCGTTATCCTGGGACTTGGCTCCTGTCAGTCTCATGTTGTCAAAACTGGAAGGAGTGCAATGCCCACTGAGTGGGAGGAACCTAGATTATTAAGCCTAACATACTTTTTTGTCGGCTCCACGAGGAAGAGACACGCACGCATACTTCTTCGTCTCCTGGGGAGTGTAGTAAAGCAATTCCCCACCAGGACAACAGAGGGCGTAGCGCTGTTCTGTGGTATCCTGTCATGCATCCGGTTCCAAGGTATTGTGTTTTTTGTATTTAAGAGACTTTTTAACACTGACGCATTTGTCCCTCATCCTCCTCCACCTCTTTATGCGCTCGCCACCTCTAAACCCAGGTTTCCCATAATTTCCGTACACAAAACGCTTGCTGTAGATCTTTTCACGCCTCCAGTCACGGGGGAATAAAACGGTCATATTTTTTGAATTTTTCCGTACGTATTCTTCAAGCTTCTACGTGTCTGCTACTAGATATCCTCGGCTCTCTTAATATTTTTGAGGGCGCAATGGCGGCGCTGTAGACGACAGCGACGTGCTGACCAATCACAAGCTTCCATTCTCCGTCTCGACGGACGGATGTTTAGAAAAGAGAGCTCGACTCCGTCCATCCTTGCGAGCCTGTCTGAGAGCCCTTGAAAGGACAGATAATGACGTTGTGTGCGTCCAGCCCGATGTAGACGGAGAAGTATAAATTAGGCTGTAACCTTTGCATGTGATGTCACACCATTCATGTGACTGCCCCCTTCACCATGATGAACCTGTTTACGTACACTGAAACTCTTGTGAAGCTAGTAAAAAGGAGCTATTTTGTAGCCTTATATCACTTTGATTAGGCTGATTTCACAGAAAAGTGGTTATAGCTGGCTGCTGGTTGGCTGCACCAGCAAAGATGTAAACTCAACTTCTCTTTATATCGATTAACTAACGGAGACCGAAGACGGGAATGAAGCGCAGCAGTCAGTCAACGAGATACTAAAAATATTGTTCCAGTGTAGGATTACGTGTTATTTATTTAGCATGTTGAGCGTCGCCGTTATGAGACATCGCGTCTCGCCCCAGTTCGAGATTAGCATCTGAACCCGGTGACCTCTCCAGCAATAAAATCTGGTAGAGATCCAGAATTCTTTAGGTTTTTTAAGCGGTAAATGAATGCTGTTTATCACATAATGTCATATATCCAGGGGGGTGAATTCTGACAAAGTCAGCAGCTTGTTTACACTGGTGAGCAGCAGCAGGGAGAACGCAAGCTAATGTTCGTAAGCTAGCTTAACTTTCGTCAATACTGCTCTCTATCAGCCCCACCTAAGTGTGCTAAATCTTCCCGCAAGTAAACTGGGCTTGAACCAGTAGAAACCAGACTAAACTGGCAAAAAAATCATCCTGAGTCGCCACTTTTCCCCACTATTCCTTTAATTCACTGTTGCCGTCCACTATAGTGGACCTACGTGATCAGGTGACCTATGTGCAAAGAGTTAATAAAAGACGACGTACGCTGAAGATACTGTACCTTTTATCTGCTGTTATAAAATCAAGTTAACTGCAGCTACTGAATTATAGTCATTATTAAAGTTCAAGTGTGTCCCAATCAACCATCCATTGGCAATAAAAGTACGGGGGTCCACTCGTTGAAGGAGATCTGCAGCTAGGAGGAGTTTGATGTAATAGTGGGCGTGCCTAAAAATGGGCGTTTTTGAAAATCTCTGCGTGAATGCACCTAAAATATAACTTTAAATCATTTTCAATAATACGTTTTGATGAGGTTTGCCAATGTAGCAAAAAAAAACTTTGCCGCCAACTAGGGTTGTCATGGTAACCGGTGTAGCCGTAAACCCCAGTAAAAAAGTTGACAATAATAATTACCGTCTTGTTTTAAAAAAAAAAAAACTAAATTATCTCGGTGGATTACCGTGGCTGCGGTGTAGGCGCGGTGACCCTTACCAGCCACCGTATCATCTGCTGAATTTGCCGGCAGCACATGCGCACTTTGTTGTTTACAACCAAAACTTTCTTGAAGCTAAAGCTGAAATAATGGCCAAAGGAGGAGACGGCAGCGCTCAGGACATTTATTATCCCTCAAAGAAGACAAAGTCGGAAGTACGGGCATTTTTTGGATATTTGAAGAATGCCGAGGGACAGTTGATAGAAGACGGCTATCCTGTTTGCAGCACGTGCAGAAAAAGTGTCTGTGAAAGGCAGCAACGCTTCAAATCTCATGACACATCTGCGTGACCATCACCCACAACTCTACACTCAACGCAAGGCAAGCTAACGCTAGCGTTTTAGCTAAAATGCGTGATCCGAGGATTTGGGTTGAGGGAGAATACAACGAGTCGCTATATAAAGCAGCCGCAGCGCCGCTACCTGTATATAAACCGTGTCGCGGACACCCCCATGTTGAAATGACGCTATGCATTACGGGGCTCCCAGGGGCAGATAAGAGTTGGTCTCTCTCCGAGAATAATTCTGAATTTAACAATGATTACTGCCTGATGACATTTTCCCACATCTGCAACGCTCACTGGAAGGACACAAACCGAGGACAATATTTTCCTGATATAGGGTTTATTACTCAAGTAAGGGTAAAAAAGTATCTGATTAGAAGGCTACTTGAGTACTGAGTATCATCTGAGCTGATATTTTTAAAATGATGACATCAAACTGACAAAAAACTAGGAAGTTATGGGCAAATATTGGTATTTTAAAGACTGAAAAATGTAAACAAATAAACAACATAATTACAAAATAACACATTTTAGGCAAAATTTAGACACAAACTGAGGACAATATTTTCCTGACATACAGGGTTTATTTAGTTGTCTGAAAATGTAACACGTTTAAAAAAAATACCACAATAATACCAAAAACCGTGATAATTTTGGTCACAATAACCGTGAGGTTAAATTTTCACACCGTGACAACCCTACCGCCAACTCTATATTTAGTCTGTCATAACACAAAAAGCCCCTTCTCAGGGAACAAAAGAAAACTGAAAGGCTTTGGTACGTCAACAACATGAAAATCTGTTGTTTTCAACACACTTTGGTCCTGTTGTTTTATTTTCCAGTAGAGCCAACAAAAAAATCCCATTTAGTCAGGTTCTGAACTTTTTGACATCCATTACAGTCCAAAAGTGTTGTGATGAAGCCAAAGTGTGTAAAACGCCAGAATGCTGAGAATAATCAGTAATGACTTTTCTAAATCTGACCCATTAAACGTGAAAATAATTGAGTTTCTGAAAGCTGCTGTCGGCACACTTCCTGATCATGGAATTGGGATCTAATGGAGAACTTTCCAGTTCGTGCTTCTTTACATTTTAGACAAATGAGCTGTCACAAAACAATCTGTCAGTGGTCTACAGTCAAAATTATGTGGCAGCCATCTTCAGGTTTAGAGCCATCCCAGCAAGCGGGATGTTAGAAAGCTTTATCTGCTGTACAGGCGATAGGAGCAGATGTGTAAACGAACTGTGACTTATCAAAGGGTAGCGTGCTGTTTGGGTTTTCTGCCCCAAGAACAGAAAAGGCTTGTGCTCAATTACCAAAATGAGCCGATCAGCAGGCAAATTCTCTTTTAAACGTGTGCAATCAGCATAAAACTCGTTTGATTGCACCGTTCCAGAAATGAAGCAGCTGGAAACACGTGCAAATCACATAATTAGGCTCAGATTTTCCCCGTGTTTTGGAAGACTATATTTCATTCACCGGAGCTTCTGGAAACCCGTAGAGCACTTACCAGGTCTGCTCTACTTGCTGACTGGGCCAGTCCAGGCGACACTGATGACCCACACTGCCGTTTTTCTTCGGGAAGGACTTAAGGACGTTAAAGACCGGATAGGGCAACATGAATAGCAACGACACCACCCAGGTGGCGGCGATGACGCGGTAGGCGTGGGAGCGGGTCTGCCAGGCACGAGACTTGAATGGGTTACAGATGGCGCTGTACCTCTCAGTGGCAATGGCCACCAGGCTGAAGGTGGAGATGCTGACTGAGACTCCTGAGGGGAAGTAGAGAAAAACAAGTAAAGTAAATGACCAACATGCTCTGGTATTATTGCACTTTGTAATTTTCACTGTCTTCCATCGTAAAATCATAAAGTTTGACTGGAATTGGTTAGAAAATAAGCCCGAAATCGGGGCAATTCTATTATGGGAAAAAAAATCATGTTTACAGAATATGATTATGAAACACACACACAGCTTTTGTCTACAAGGCTTCATCCTCCCTAGGGCCATGTGGCTTTCTTGGTCACCAGGCGAAAGACACGTAACAGTTCAGGTCACCAGGCCATCACAGTTTAATCGAATACATTTTGAGTTGATTATGTAGAGCCTAAAATATAAAATAATTTAATAATAACGTCCTCTGCTGCCCGCGGATAAACAGAGTAGGAAGTGATGCCACCAACAGCGTCAGCTCTGAGGAAGTTTTGCAGCCGGCAAACAAAAGTGTCAGCAAGGTAAAAAAAAACTTTTCTGTGTCATAAAAAAGAAATAAAAATGGAATTCGATAATCGCCAGAATAATCGTTTTAAAAATAATCATTTACCCCCAGCCCTAGTCATCAGAGAACTTCTGGAGGTGACAGTTGCTGGTGTTATAGGTGAAGTCTGAGGGGTAGAACATGGAGAAAGGGCGGGAGCACCATATCCTGTGGAGCTCCAGTACTTCACATAACCCCCTCAGACATACAGTTGTGCAGCCTCACAAAACGGCAAAATGGCTAACAATTCTCCAAGAAGCTACACCTGTTGGTGAGGTAGTTGACGGTCCATGCAGTCAGATGTTCGTCCACTCCTCAAGTTGTAAGTTGTTCCATCTCTTGGAATTTTAACTGTAATTCGCTGCTTTACAATAGTTTATTAGCATCAAAGTGCTGGAGCCCTGGAGCTGTTCGCTCTAGAAGGTCCTGGAAATGTCAGGAACAGAACTGGTGGCATCACTTTACTTGAGAGAGATTTTGGTCAACAAACTTAAGAAACCTATTATTACTCAATTAAAAAAGAACAATACATCTCCTTTAAAGGGACTATAAGGAAGTTTGACAGTTAAAACGTGTAGAAATAATAAATGTCTTCTTCATACATTCTCCTGCAATGCCCTGGTCCTGTAGAATGAGCCCTGGCATTTTTACTGTGATTGCCTGTTTTTCTGTGAAATCACAGAAAAAGAGAGATGCTCGGGTCGAGCAGGCTGCTTCATGCGCGTTCACGCTCTGACATAGCCCGTAGCATTTGCTATCAGTAGCTTTAGCAGCAGAGAGAGAGGCAGTGCCACTTTGTCGCTGTTCCTAACGCCTAGTGACAAAGCTAGCTACATTTCTGAGGACCCTTAGCTACTTTCTGTAGAACTTTCTTCTAGATATTTCCTGCTAATTAGCAACAAAATAGCCATTTTCGCTCCGAACCGTTCTTTGGATTGACGATGTTTCAGCTGTCATCAAGGATATAAACGTTACAGATACTGTGAATGTTACTAGAGTGTAGCTCACCTTGTAAGATGTCTGACTCTCATGCAGAAGACCTGGGTTCAATTCTGGATGTGAACATAGTTCATTTAGAGATTTAGAGTTTCTTTTTTACATTAATGGTATATTTTATTACAGTAAGATGCCCAAATTTTTATTTGAGACTCGCCAAACAGCATTGAATTCACAGATAAAAAAGATGTGGGTTCAACTTTCATTTTGGAACAATTTTTCAAGCAAGGGAAGGGAATGATCTGAGCATGCAGGAGGACTGACCCATCTTAAACCTTTGTCGGCTGTGCTGAAGAGAAAGGTACAGAACCAAATTATTTAATTAATTAGCTACGTGTTCTCCTGTCCTCTGGGCCACACACACACAAGGGACTGTCTCAGCTGTTATTTTCGTTAAGGAGTGTGCACGTACAGCATGCGCGCCTCGTGCACGAGCCCCCTATTGAAGCTGTCGTTACGCTTTTGGCCTGAGGGGGCAATCGCGAGCATAAAAATTCAAAACTCCGTAAAGTCCCTTTAAACTGAAATCAAATTTTGACCACACTGTTGTCAAACAAATCTCCAAACATGAACATGAGGAACATGAACTACTTAAAAGCCTTTGATTTCCATTTTGTTCTGGCTCTACTAACCCTTGGGGAAAGTAATTTGCTATTTTCTCTGGACTCCTCTACCATGTTTGCTAAGCATCCTGCAATCTGGTCATTAGAGTGTAGTCTTTATTCTTTTGTGCTGTAACAGCATCCAGCTGAGGCTTATTTTAGTATAAAAACTTCTATTTACAAATGAGCAAAAGAGAAAAATTTCTTTCGACAGTTAAATGTCATAAATGGTAAAAAAGCGACTAAAAGATACTTAACTTCTCCCTGTGATCATTAAGAAATGGATATTCGAGAAGAGCCCACTGTGTTCAGAGCCCAGGCTGGATTTGCATGCATGCATATGGATGACGTGCATGGTGGGAGGAAACTGTCAGCTTGTGAGTGAGTCAGGATAAGACAAACAGCATTAACGTCCCCATACCTGTATGTCACCAGCTGCCACTAAGAGCCCGTACTTCATCCTGGACTGCCTCGGAAATAAATCCAGCACACTGATCCTCCAAGAAGCGACACCGTCACATAATAATCCCTATTTATTTCTTCCTTCATGACAAGAAAAAGCAAAAAAACAAATGAAGTTTTGCATTTTTAATCAAATGAGGAAATCACTGCTGTTTACATCCTCCAGCAAGAGGAATTATATCAGGATTTTAAGTTTGAACTGCTGGGACATTGCAAACTAGAAGACTTAAAACCTAAACGCGTTCACCTGTGGCCAAAGGGATTGCGCAGATATTTAGATGTTTATTTTTGTAATATAAAAATAATCTGCTGTAAAAAGCTCTATGACACGCTATAAAAAACCTCAGATTATTTGTCTGGATTGATAAGCCACTGGCTAGGTTGAATAAGGTCAAAGTAGGGCTGCCCAATATATCGAAAAATTATCGTCATCGGGATAACAGGACGTGCGATAGGCCCATCGCAAAGCACGTCAAAAACGGCGATAAATGTTTGGTTCAACATTTCCATCCATGTCATACATCAACTTTTTGTAAACCAGCTCTGTTTTTTACGCGGAAGTATTATTTGACCAATCAAATGTAGTCCTGATATACGGCCATGATGGGTCAGTTCACTGTAATACGCCTGCCCCCTACGTAGACCCTTAGGATGGAAAGCAACAACCGAACCGAATTAGCGGCGCCGTTCCCTTGTTCGTCATGCTGGCTCAGAGCAACGAACGCACTTTGTGCTGAGGTTTCTGGAATCAGCGCTGCTTTCAAACGTGAACGTGAGTCCGCTCGGTGTCGTTAATCATTTTTACCGGGCTGACTCCGACATGTGCCAGTGAACCAACCCACCTTCATGTCGCTAGTGTTAGCCCCAGGCTCCGTTTAGCTTCCAGCTAAAAGGCTACAGCACTCTCCTCCCAGTCCCACCCTGCTAAAGAGGGCCTGGAAAAGTTCCCCCACACATCAAAGTTATTTTTCATTTATGAGCTTTTATAACCGTGTTAATCAGGATAGTTGATTTGCTGCTGCATATAAACTGTCAGTCAGAAGCTCTGCTAGCCGGTTATCTTAGAGGAGCTAGTTCAGTGTGTTAGCTTGTTATCAGAATCATAGTTGCAGTTTCATCATCTGAGCTGCTTTTTAAGATCTAGGTAAACTTGTTCAATTTGGGGTTAAAAACAAACGTTTTCACATATTTTCCATGTAGTTTTTTGCCAGTTCCTCTTCTGAAAGGTAGACAATTGTTTTTCTCTTTCCCTCAGAAAATCTTAATATTCTCCTAGTTTGGCCCAGCACAGATCACTTCCCAATTACAGCAACAGCCTTATATCATAACCACATAAGTGGAGAAAATGTTCAGTAGCAATGAGAGAATTTGCTGTTGCATTTAAGTGATGTTAACTATTATTTAACATTTAAACTATTTATTCAAAAAACCCTGGTAAGTGATGTTTTTCTGTATTTGGAGCATCAGAAAAAGTTTTATGGTGGGGGTGATGTTTTAAAGTCACTGAGAAACTGCATGCATGCAGTTTGTTGTTTTGCTGCTAATACAGTAGCAGGTGCAGCTGCATAGTTTTGCAATAAAAATGTTATGTTGTAATGGAATTCATGCATTTTAACCCAGAGCAGACGTCACACGCCAGACGACATCAACACTGCATACTTTAGTATTTGTTCATTTATCGTGAGTAATATCGATATCGCAATATTAAGCACTGTTATCGAATATCGCAGGTTTTCCTAATATCGTGCAGCCCTAGGTCAAAGCAATGTGGATTTCTGCCCCTAAAGTAATTGAAACGTTAAGTGTGGTAATGAATGAGTGAGTTTTGTTCTTATGGCTTCATTTACCAAACACACTTGCGCACAGACCTGTGCCTATTTCGTGCCTAAGAACAATTCTATGCATTGTGTGGTGTTTATCATTTTGTACCTGTGCGTAGAAACGTTCCTAAATTTAGGAACATCTCTGACCGTGCGTCCGTACAGCATCTAGTGGCAGAACGGGGAAGCGCAATACCGAATGTCTCAGCCATCATCCAGTGTGTACTTTTGGCTTTTTTACACAATTGGTGCTAAAACCAATAAAAGGCACCTGTGACTGATGGGAATCTGACATTATATCATGGCTGATCTGTGTTATTGAAGGATTTTACAGAGCGTGCTCTCTGGAGAGAATGCGTTTTCTGTAAGCGCACTGATCTCAAAGGAAATAATTCTGCTATGCTGGGATTTGGGACCCTTTGTGCTGCGACAGACAATCCTCACGAATCCGATCCCAGTTCATATTTTATTTTACAACTATGAGAACCCCCCAGAACCTCGTCTGCTCCCCGATCACACACGCCGCATTGCCAAGGTAACCAGACTGAATGACAGCTCAGAGGCTGCACTCTCAAGACAACATTTCCAAACAAACAAACTCCAAACAGAACAACTCCTTAAATTTAAATGAGAAC